TCATGAAGATTTGGTTAGCCTTTTTTATGTCTCAAGTTTCAAGTCAGTTCCAAGTAAAATCAGGGAATATATATATATATATATAGGGTATGTCAATATGAAGGACCGAAGCTGGTTCTACATGAAATAAGGGTTTTGGTACTGCAATTTCAATTTTTTAGGTTTTCAAATGTAAGAACATACAGACTGCAAAAGTGTGGTCCTATTGCCTCGCTGATGGCCAATTTGCTTTTGTTGTGAAAAGTAAATGCCTTCAACAGGGGCTACATGAAATAGGGGGAAATATGGAGAAAAGATGTTTTGATGGGAATGATCTAATTGTTGGCATTAGTAGATTAAAGAATAATATCTTTAATTAGGCTTTCCAAATAGATGTGTAAAATCCATGTTGAAAGTATTGGATCAAGGCTTTCATATATGTAACATCAAAGGAGGGAAGAGGTCAAGGAAACTTGTAGGAAAAAACGTGAAAGTTGGCAAAGGTGAAATCTTTTTTTTTGTTTTTTTGGGTTACAAGGCAGGCCAAAGCCAGAAAAGAAAAAAAGCTAACAAGGCACATCCCTACTTTGGGCTCTTCCTAGTTCACCATCCAGCAGCAAGCTTGAGATGGAGATAGGAGCAGACTCGTAGTTATGAAGCCCTAAGGGTAACTCATACCCCGAGTTAGCAAAGTGATCAGCTGCTCTGTTTTGCTCCCTGTAGATTTGAGAGACATTGCATCTCCAATCAAACAAGGAATCACATTCAATATCAAGGGACCTAATGCCCTTGGCCCAAGCCATATGCAAATTATTAATATATCCAATCCCAATATTGGCAGAGAACCCATAGATCCATGCTCCATTAGAGTGTGCTCCGTTTGGATGAAGGAATTGCAAATTACGTATAATTCCCTGTAGATTTGAGAGACATTGCATCTCCAATCAAACAAGGAATCACATTCAATATCAAGGGACCTAATGTCCTTGGCCCAAGCCATATGCAAATTATTAATATATCCAATCCCAATATTGGCAGAGAACCCATAGATCCATGCTCCATTAGAGTGTGCTCCGTTTGGATGAAGGAATTGCAAATTACATAGAATTCTAAAATGACGGAATTTAGATTTCCGTCATTTCAATTTCTGGCAATTGAATATTTCAGTGTTTGGATTTATGTATGTCGAATTTTGTAATTGACAGAAATTGAAATTTTCAATGTTTGGATAGCTCATGTAAATTGTAAATAACAGAAATTAAATATTTCAAAAGAACAAAAAAACTAATAACCAACATAGAAGGTATTCCTCGAAGTATAAAATAACATATCATTTGATGAACTAAATAACTCAACTTAAACAAATAGAGCATATTAGCAAACCACCAGCACAAATCTTCCAAGAATCTTTTTTACAATCTTTAGTTAGTAAAGATTAGGAAACGAAAATGTCAATTTGGGAATAATAAAGGCAATGGGGGGTAGGTAGGGAAATATGTTTGGCGGTGACAATAACACCATTTGTTTATTATGAGATGCAATCCTCAATTGACTATTTTGACTTTTGACTTTCTTCATTCTTCAATGTTAAATACCTAAATTACCCCTGGTGGTATTATGAACAAATAAAAAAACCCCTGGTGGCACATGTTTGTAATTTTGTTATTTCTATGTTGTTTTATGGTATCTCTAGCCTCTATTAGTGTGTTTGTGCACAAACACATGTGCCTTCTAGTCTCATTCTTAGTTTGGAGAGGGGAAAAAAATTGATGTGGCAAGGTAAATGTGAGTTGCCTTTCTATTTGTCTCATCTTAGAGATTGTTTAGATCGTTTATGTAAAAAACACTTGTATTTATAAGCGTTTTTACTATAAGCAAATTGATAGTTTTGTTCAAAATTTAAGTACTTACGAGAAAAGCAGATGAAGTGTTTCCTAAAGAAGTACCGTGTATAAAACGTTTTTATAAACTTCATCATCGGTAGTTTCAAAATTTTGATGTGGGTGTGCGGAGACATGTCTCGGGTGTCCAGAGAAACCCTCTTATAAGAAACTGTGAGGCCCTAGTCAGAGAGTATGAAGCCCATATTTACTTCACACACGGGCCCAATCTTTTGTTTCTAATAGCTCCTGGCAAGCATTCAATCTTTTCTATGATAGGGGAGATTTGCAGTGGCCGAGTCATCTCAAGTTCTCTTAAAAAAACCAAGACTTTTCTCTCAAGTCTGCATCCCACCCAAACCATGCCAAGCCAACCGACACTTTTTCTCTATAAGATTAAGATCACTTCTTTTAACAACTAATAAATGGGAAGGGAAAATAGTTAGCTTCTCAGTGTACGGAGTCATTTTTCTTTACAGATAATGAGTTATTTTTATATTTGTAATGAGTTATTTTTGCATATATATGGCAGGGTCAGATTGTGACTTGTCTAGAAAATAGAATGAATTTTTATATATAAAGAGCAAAACAATGTGTAACGAACAACCTTAAAGAGATAACTTAAGGGGTGAACATCTCACTTGCGTAAGGTTTTGTCCCTAACAGTACAACATTACTACCACTGACTGATTATTATCAGCCCCCATCTGAACATAAACATATACTTGAAAAAAGCATGAAAATCACAGCTTGTATGATTGGGGTTGCTCTTCTTGTTGCTATTGTTTTCTCCATTGTAAGATTTTATTGGCGCCGCAGCAATTCCAGGAGGAGGAGTAGTTCTTTACCAATTTTGTTTGATACCCAACACGATTTTCTTGATGAAGATCATGGACCTGTTCTTGATCATCCCATTTGGTACATCCACACTGTTGGGCTCCCGCAATCTGTAATTGACTCCATAACAGTCTGCAAGTATAAAAAAGATGAGGGTTTGATTGAAGGAACAGATTGTTCTGTTTGCTTGAGTGAGTTTGAAGAAGATGAGAGTCTTAGGCTTTTGCCCAAGTGCAGTCATGCCTTCCACATCCCTTGTATTGATACCTGGTTGAGATCACATAAAAATTGCCCTCTTTGCCGCGCTCCAATTGTTTGTGACATTGCTAGGGCTCAAGAAAGTGTCCCTGAGCCTATTTCGAGGGATTCAGCTTCGAGGGAAAGCATTGAGGTAGAGAATTTGGAGAATAATGGAAGGGTTGGAAGCCTTGGAAGTGGGACAAGTGAGGTTGGGATTGCAGATGATGAGAATGTTTTTGCAATTCCAACTGAGGGAAGAACTGCTGAAAATTCAGGAAAGGTTTTGCCAAGTTCTACTGTGGCTGCTGGTAGTCGTGATCCAAGAGCATTAAGTGATTTGACTGACAATCGTCGTGTTACTGAAGAGGACATACAACCAATTAGGAGGTCAGTTTCGATGGATTCGTCATCTGCTTCGCGAATATACCGTGATGTGGCCAATGTCATTCCTGAAGAAGGAAGTTCAAAATCCCAATTAGTACATGTTAAGAATCCGAATTCGGGGATTGTTTCCAAGTATGGCAGTTCAAGTTCTAGCCTAGCCAAGCTAATGAGGAGTTCTTCAATTGGGTTTTCTCTGCAGATGGGGCCAATATCAATGAAAAGGCCTTTCTCATCTGGCAGGAAGTTTTTCTCACCCAAACATGGAAGGAGTCAGAGCTCAATCCTTCCCTCATGAAGATTTGGTTAGCCTTTTTTATGTCTCAAGTTTCAAGTCAGTTCCAAGTAAAATCATGGAATATATATATATATGGCCTTCTCAATGGCCTCTGCTGTATCTGTATTTTGTAGGATAAAACTTAAAAGTTAGTATAGAGGGTATGTCAATATGAAGGACAGAAGCTGGTTCTACATGAAATAAGGGTTTTGGTACTGCAATTTCAATTTTTTAGGTTTTCAAATTTAAGAACATACAGACTGCAAAAGTGTTAACATACAGACTGCAAAAGTGTGGTCCTATGGCCTCGCTGATGGCAAATTTGCTTTTGTTATGAAAAGTAAATGCCTTCAACCCACATGAAATAGGGGGAAATATGGAGAAAAGATGTTTTGATGGGAATGATCAAATTGTTGGCATTAGTAGATTAAAGAATAATCTCTTTAATTAGGCTTTCCGTAAAATCCATGTTGAAAGCATAAGATCAAGGCTTTCATATATGTAACGTCAAAGGAGGGAGGAGGTCAAGGAAACTTGTAGGAAAAAACGTGAAAGTTGGCAGAGGTGAAATCTTTTTTATTATTTTTTGGTTACAAGGCAGGCCAAAGCCAGAAAAGAAAAAAAGCTAACAAGGCACATCCCTACTTTGGGCTCTTCCTAGTTCATCATCCAGCAGCAAGCTTGAGAGGGAGATAGGAGCATACTTGTAGTTATGAAGCCCCAAGGGTAACTCATACCCCAAGTTAGCAAGGTGATCAGCTGCTCTGTTTTGCTCCCTGTAGATATGAGAGACATTGCATCTCCAATCACGGTTAAGTAACAACTTGCAGTCTTCAATCAGACAAAAGAGAGGATGTGAATGGTTACAAGCCTTAGCAATCAGAAAGACAACAGACAAGGAATCACATTCAATATCAAGGGACCTAATGCCCTTGGCCCAAGCCATATGCAAACCTCTAAAGAGACTCCATAGCTCAACCTCATTAATATTTCCAATCCCAATATTGGAAGATGTGTAGAGCTCTAGCTCGGATGCTTGCACCACCTTCTTCCAGGTTCTTGGTTCTTTTCTCCTTGGCTGTGGAATGGCTTTTCTCATTCTCCTTTTGTTGGCTGCTGTCTTTTGGATGTATTGGTTGGGTTAATTCGGGATCTGTTAGTTAATCTCGGGTGGGCTATGTTTTGAGGGATGTTTGGCTTGGTTTGCTGACCTACGGGTGTTTGGTTATTCATGGTAGTGATTGGTGGTTTGTCCATCTACAGTCGTGGAATTTCTCTTTGCTGGTGGTGGCGGCTTGGAGTTTCTCTTTGGCTGTGGCAACTAGGTTTCCTGTGTCTTATTTTATGTATTTTATGTTTAATGTGGGCTTTATGCTGAATGTGGGTGTAATGCCTCTTTGTGGGCTATATGCCTTTATGTGGGCTAAATGCATTTTTGTTGGCTTTTGACGTTTTAGTTTTTGGCTCGAGAACATGATCTTCTTGGTATACTATACTGGTTTTAGCTAGATTTGTTCATATTTGTTTTCTGTTAGTTTTCTGGTCGATGCTTCTGCTCGGCTTTGTTTGTACTGTTCTCTACCCCTTTGGGGGTTTGCAATGAATTGCAATTTCGACCAAAAAAAGAGTCCCTTAGCAAACCACCAGCACAAATCTTCCAAGAATATGTTTTACAATCTTTAGTTCGTAAAGATTAGGTAACGAAAATGTCAATTTGGGAAGGCTTAATATCGATATCACACAACATTCCTAAGGTTTACGAAATTATCAGATTGCATCTTTAATTTTTTTTTTTTGTGTCATTTGTGGTCCTCAAGCGTATGTGTGATCACAAATGGTCCTTACCGTTAGGTTCCGTCAAAAACTCCGTTAGTTTGCTGATGTGGCATATATATATCACAAAACATCCCTCAGGTTCACGCACCTATCACAAATGTCCCTGCAAATTTTTTTAATTTTTTAATTTAAAATTCATAAAATTTTGGTTTTCTTTTAAAAAAAATTTAAAAATATATATTGTATTTTAAATACACGTGAAACTATATTTTTGAAGGTGTGAGCTCCACATTTATGCCACATCAACAAACTAATGAAGTTTTTAAAAATAATTAAAATTTTAAAAATGAAAAAACCATTTATAGAAGATTTTAACCTTGAGGACCATTTATGAACCCTAAACTCTTGGTTTTTTCATTTTTTAAGTTTTATGAATTTTAAATTATTTTTTTAAAAAAACTCCATTAATTTGTTGATGCGGTATATATGTAGAGCCCACATCTCCAATAATATATGTCACGTGCATTTAAAATTCATAAAATTTTAAATTTTATGAATTTTAAATTAAAAAAATTCACAGGGGCCATTTATGATAGGTGTGTGAACCTCAGGGATATTTCACAGGGACCACGTCAGCAAACTAACGGAGTTTTTGACGGAACCTAACGGCAGGGACCATTTGTGACAAGACATACTAACCTTGAGGACCATGAATGACACAAAAAAACATCAAGGATGCAATCTAATAGTTTCGTAAACCTTAGGGACGTTTTGTGATATTAAGTCATTTGGGAATGATAAAGGCAATGGGGGGTAGGTAGGGAAATATGTTTGGCGGTGACAATAACACCATTTGTTTATTATGAGATGCAATCCTCAATTGACTGTTTTGACTTTTGACTTTCTTCATTCTTCAATGTTAAATACCTAAATTACCCTTGGTGGTATTATGACCAAACAAAAAAAACAAAAAAAAAACCCCTGGTGGCACGTGTTTGTAGTTTTGTTATTTCTATGTTGTTTTATGGTATCTCTAGCCTCTATTAGTGTGTTTGTGCACAAACACATGTGCCTTCTAGTCTCATTCTTAGTTTGGAGAGGGGAAAAAAAATTGATGTGGCAAGGTAAATGTGAGTTGCCTTTCTATTTGTCTCATCTTAGAGACCGTTTAGATCGTTTATGTAGAAAACATTTGTATTTATAAGCGTTTTTACTATATGCAAATTGAAAGTTTTGTTCAAAATTTAAGTACTTCCGAGAAAAGCAGATGAAGTGTTTCCTAAAAAAGTACCTTGTATAGAACGTTTTTATAAAGTTTATCATTGGTAATTTCAAAATTTTGATATGGGTATGGAGACATGTCTCGGGTGTCCATAGAAACCCTCTTATGAGAAACTGTGAGGCCTACTCAGAGAGTATCAAGCCCATATTCACTTCACACACAGAATGGAAAAGAAAACCCAGTTGATGTAGATATGGTACAGTGAACGCGGAAAGAGTCGTTAAAGCTCATTGACTTTGTTGCACAGTGCCAAAAGAATAAGCAAACATGTCCAAGTAAATGCAAAAGTCTCTTTGAAAACGAGTTGTGGAATAAAAAAAGGAACTCAGCCCGTGTTGTCCATGACAATCAATTTCCAAGCCCAGTATGTGGCTGGAAATCTAATCCTTTGCCTTGACTCTCTGACTCTCTGACTCTCTCTCTCTTTTCTGGCTCATAAACAAACAGAAGGTATGAATTTCTAATTTCTAACCCCTGTTTTGAATCTCCTCTGTTTTTCTTTTTCCTTTTTTCAATGGGATTTGATCACAGAAAACTCATCCCCCAACCCCAAAACAATTCCTGTGAGGAATGTTTCTGTTCAGGTCGTTGTAACCCAGCTTTGGACAAAGGGGGTGTCTGTTTTCTTCCTTGTGTTGAAATATGCCATCCTGTATGTAATCCACCACCACCGCCATTACAACCAGTGACTTCATTACTACCACTGACTGATTATTATCAGCCCCCATCTGAACATAAACATATACTTGAAAAAAGCATGAAAATCACAGCTTGTATGATTGGGGTTGCTCTTCTTGTTGCTATTGTTTTCTCCATTGTAAGATTTTATTGGCGCCGCAGCAATTCCAGGAGGAGGAGTAGTTCTTTACCAATTTTGTTTGATACCCAACACGATTTTCTTGATGAAGATCATGGACCTGTTCTTGATCATCCCATTTGGTACATCCACACTGTTGGGCTCCCGCAATCTGTAATTGACTCCATAACAGTCTGCAAGTATAAAAAAGATGAGGGTTTGATTGAAGGAACAGATTGTTCTGTTTGCTTGAGTGAGTTTGAAGAAGATGAGAGTCTTAGGCTTTTGCCCAAGTGCAGTCATGCCTTCCACATCCCTTGTATTGATACCTGGTTGAGATCACATAAAAATTGCCCTCTTTGCCGCGCTCCAATTGTTTGTGACATTGCTAGGGCTCAAGAAAGTGTCCCTGAGCCTATTTCGAGGGATTCAGGTTCGAGGGAAAGCATTGAGGTAGAGAATTTGGAGAATAATGGAGGGGTTGGAAGCCTTGGAAGTGGGACAAGTGAGGTTGGGATTGCAGATGATGAGAATGTTTTTGCAATTCCAACTGAGGGAAGAACTGCTGAAAATTCAGGAAAGGTTTTGCCAAGTTCTACTGTGGCTGCTGGTAGTCGTGATCCGAGAGCATTAAGTGATTTGACTGACAATCGTCGTGTCACTGAAGACGACATGCAACCAATTAGGAGGTCAGTTTCGATGGATTCGTTATCTGCTTCGCGAATATACCGTGATGTGGCCAATGTCATTCCTGAAGAAGGAAGTTCAAATTCCCAATTAGCACATGTTAAGAATTCGAATTCAGGGATTGTTTCCAAGTATGGCAGTTCAAGTTCTAGCCTAGCCAAGCTAATGAGAAGTTCTTCAATTGGGTTTTCTCTGCAGATGGGGCCAATATCAATGAAAAGGCCTTTCTCATCTGGCAGGAAGTTTTTTTCATCCAAACATGGAAGGACTCAAAGCTCAATCCTTCCCTCATGAAGATTTGGTTAGCCTTTTTTATGTCTCAAGTTTCAAGTCAGTTCCAAGTAAAATCAGGGAATATATATATATAGAGGGTATGTCAATATATTTATCCAATGGGGCTGAATTTTGGATATGTTATAGTACACACCAATTGGAACAACTTTCATGATGTGGCCTCATTCGAGCTATGTAGGGTGTTGAAACAAAGCTTGCAATATGACCTACGGAACTGGACTGGTAGGGGGCTGTAGTCAAAATGAGTTTGTCTTTAAGCTCTTCATCCATTCATCCAAATTAGGCCTTAACATGCTTGAATTGCATGAATTATGCTATCTAAAGCCATCATTATTACCTAAAGCTCAATGAACTGAAAGATAAACACAAAAAGGATTAAAAACACAAGTTTAACTCAAAAACATAACCAAATCATAAGCTAGAAGGGTACAAAATGATATACAATTATGAATCGATCAGTAGCTTTGAGACAATGCCGTCGGTAGCCGATACCGATTGTTCGAGGCCTTGGGTACTTGGGTGAGTCCCCATGATCCACGTGTCGTTGTATGAGTAGAGGATCAGATATGGTACAAACATTTGTCAACATGCCATTTTGGTGCTTTTATTTAACTTTTGGTTTCAATTTTTTTTTCTTCTAATATGGTATTGATATTTTTTATGATTTTGGGCTGATGTTACTGAGGTTTGATACTCTTCTTTTTTTTCTTTCGATTTTTTCATGTTGTGTTTTGACAGATGTGTTCTCTATTCCAGGTATCATTCTTCAGTGGCATTGAAATCTTTGAACGTTGTTGAAGAGAGATTGAAGACTCTGCAGAAAATTGAATATGTTCTATTTCTGTAATTTGTTTGTAATTAAATTTGTTTAATTGTTTTGTTTTTAGGTTGTAAGTTTTATATTAATGCATGTTTACTAGATCTGACTAAGATTGGTTGAAATTGAAGTTGGATTTTTAATGTGATTCATTATGGGTTTTTTGTGTGTTCTTGTCAAAGAATAGTGGTTGTTTCAATATGGGAATTGGGCCAATTGTGATGTTTAAGGCCCAATTTTTTAAAAAATCAGATGGTCTTGAAGCTTAAATACACAAAAAAAACCAAACTGGGCTTTACAGCATTTTTCTCAACCATTTTCAAAAATAATAATTTTCCTTCCTCAGTCAAAATTTTAAGTCTTTGTGGCCCTTTCCAACTCTAACTTTAATAATCCCTCTACAACCAAAATTGCTACTAGGAACATTTGTAGACATAGTTCTTCATTGAGGTTTTTTCAATACAAGATCATGTTACCAAGTGGGAAAAAAAAACAATGGGAATTTTATTTTTATTTTTATTTTCCTGTTTTGGTAAAAAGCCCTAGATAATTAAAAAAGAGAGGACACAT